CATTGAGAACTTGTGGTCGATCCTCAAGAGGCGGGTGGACAAACAAAAACCCACAAATTCTGACAAACTCCAAGCATTGATTATGCAAGAATGGGCTGCCATCAGTCAGGATGTGGCCCATAAGTTAATTGACAGCATGCCAGGGCGGATTGCAGAGATCTTGAAAAAGAAGGGTCAACACTGCAAATATTGACTCTTTGCATAAACTTAATGTAATTGTCAATAAAAGCCTTTGACACTTATGGAATGCTTGTAATTATACTTCAGTATACCATAGTAACATCTGACAAAAATATCTCATAACGCTGAAGCAGCGAACTTTGTGAAGACCAACACTTTCGACATTATATACATGGGATACATACAGTGGGGAAAAAAAGTATTTAGTCAGCCACCAATTGTGCAAGTTCTCCCACTTAAAAAGATGAGAGAGGCCTGTAATTTTCATCATAGGTACACGTCAACTATGACAGACAAATTGAAAGAAAAAAAATCCAGAAAATCACATTGTAGGATTTTTAATGAATTTATTTGCAAATTATGGTGGAAAATAAGTATTTGGTCACCTACAAACAAGCAAGATTTCTGGCTCTCACAGACCTGTAACTTCTTCTTTAAGAGGCTCCTCTGTCCTCCACTCGTTACCTGTATTAATGGCACCTGTTTGAACTTGTTATCAGTATAAAAGACACCTGTCCACAACCTCAAACAGTCACACTCCAAACTCCACTATGGCCAAGACCAAAGAGCTGTCAAAGGACACCAGAAACAAAATTGTAGACCTGCACCAGGCTGGGAAGACTGAATCTGCAATAGGTAAGCAGCTTGGTTTGAAGAAATCAACTGTGGGAGCAATTATTAGGAAATGGAAGACATACAAGACCACTGATAATCTCCCTCGATCTGGGGCTCCACGCAAGATCTCACCCCGTGGGGTCAAAATGATCACAAGAACGGTGAGCAAAAATCCCAGAACCACACGGGGGGACCTAGTGAATGACCTGCAGAGAGCTGGGACCAAAGTAACAAAGCCTACCATCAGTAACACACTACGCCGCCAGGGACTCAAATCCTGCAGTGCCAGACGTGTCCCCCTGCTTAAGCCAGTACATGTCCAGGCCCGTCTGAAGTTTGCTAGAGTGCATTTGGATGATCCAGAAGAGGATTGGGAGAATGTCATATGGTCAGATGAAACCAAAATATAACTTTTTTGGTAAAAACTCAACTCGTCGTGTTTGGAGGACAAAGAATGCTGAGTTGCATCCAAAGAACACCATACCTACTGTGAAGCATGGGGGTGGAAACATCATGCTTTGGGGCTGTTTTTCTGCAAAGGGACCAGGATGACTGATCCGTGTAAAGGAAAGAATGAATGGGGCCATGTATCGTGAGATTTTGAGTGAAAACCTCCTTCCATCAGCAAGGGCATTGAAGATGAATCGTGGCTGGGTCTTTCATTATGACAATGATCCCAAACACACCGCCCGGGCAATGACGGAGTGGCTTCGTAAGAAGCATTTCAAGGTCCTCGAGTGGCCTAGCCAGTCTCCAGATCTCAACCCCATAGAAAATCTTTGGAGGGAGTTGAAAGTCTGTGTTGCCCAGCGACAGCCCCAAAACAGGAGATCTGCATGGAGGAATGGGCCAAAATACCAGCAACAGTGTGTGAAAACCTTGTGAAGACTTACAGAAAACATTTGACCTGTGTCATTGCCAACAAAGGGTATATAACAAAGTATTGAGAAACTTTTGTTATTGACCAAATACTTATTTTCCACCATAATTTGCAAATAAATTCATTAAAAATCCTACAATGTGATTTTCTGGAAAAAAAATTCTCATTTTGTCTGTCATAGTTGACGTGTACCTATGATGAAAATTACAGGCCTCTCTCATCTTTTTAAGTGGGAGAACATCCACAATTGGTGGCTGACTAAATACTTTTTTTCCCCACTGTAGTGCAATGAAATGCTTACTTGCAGGTTAACCTCTTGACAATGCAACAACAATAGAAAAAGTAAGTAACTATGTGAATAAAAATAGTAATACAAATAAAATCTCAGTGAAATAATTTCACCAATTCAATAATGGATAGTTTTTTAAAATAATAATTACATAACCTATATGGAAATAACAGACATTAGCCACGCATGTTTACCTGTAGAATGGAATAGGTTATAAGACCTCTATGATTCATTTCATTTTGTCAATTCTACATTGCTAATTTTAAAAAAAGGGTTAAAGGATAGGAAGCATGTGTTTTTACTCACCAAAATAATAACAGTGTGGTCAAATACTTAAAAACTTCACGATCTGGTTACCTATAACTACAAACATAGTTACTGTATGTTTTTTTTGTTTTTTTACATATTTATCCACTTATTTCTGGATTTATTCGGAACTACCCACAATGCACTATTTCTCAAGGTCTAGTTGTGTAATGGTGGTACCTCCATCTGTTTTCCTTTTTGTTTTGTAAATCTTTCGGCATGTTCTCTGTGATGTAGGCTACGGGAGTTGTATTACTTTTTACACCTTGCCTTAGTGCACCTTGCTGAATCTATCTATTTTAGATTTTTCTCACTATAGCTATTAGATTTTCCCTAATTAGATTTTCCCTAACACTTACCATCAGATGGGACCCAGCCATCAATCTGTAAGTTTCTGCTCTTTTGATCTGTGGTTATGTTTTAGTTGTGTTGTGTTCTAACTGGTCTCCAGTATTTGGGCTCTAGCATGCCAACCATAGCCGTGCTGGTTGGCAAGGTTGGCTAGGCTAATAGCTGCTAACGTTAATTGGCTAAATAGCTAACATTAGCTGGCTGGCTAGCTTGCTGGCTAAGGTAACTGCATATTAGAGGTCTTCTCGGGTCCAAAAGGTTGGTCCCGTTCCGAAATGGACCCGGTGATTTCCTCCCCGGACCCTACCCGAATAAATACATTTTTTAAATATGGAGACCCAAGGACAACCAGACCCGGTCCCATATAGACCCGTTCGGGTCCAGACCCAGTCTGATCTGATCCAAGTGAGGGAAGCAGCAGAAAATATATATTTTAGCTAAGTTATTAACTGAAGCTGTTAATGCATGCACAGAGGGAGAGGGGAACAAAGGAGCTAGCAGCAGGCGCCATGCCGTACAGTGTGTGTTTGTGGCTGAGTGGCGCTAGGAGGAGGGAGAGCAACCAAGCCAACTCGCACTAGTTACTAACTTCTAGCTGCCAAAGCTAGGTTATTTATCACCCAATCTGATTACATAGTACCTGTTTTGACTGCATCAAACTGAGAAAGAAGCTAGCTAGCTGGGTTGGCTAATTGAGGCTACATAGGCTGCGCTTTCCCCCATCCTACACAATTACAACAACAACTCCATTCAAAGTATTAATTTGCAGCCTACTTGTTGGCTCTTGGTCTTTGTAGCCTATCCTTCTCATTTAACTTTTAATTCCGTCATTTTAATTCCATCTTCCATTGATCTCCTAACTTAATTGCCACGGCACACACAGAGCCAGAGGCTAGTGCCGCTTTGATAACTTGTGCAGTAGCATAAATTAGACAATGTTCTCTCTCTCTCTCTCTCTCCTGCATACCCGTGACAATCAAATCAGATCCGACCCTAAGGTCCTAGGGTCAACTACAGAATTTCGGGTCCCGGGTAGGGCTCCAGGAAATCGGGTTCAGGTGGACCCGTGAAGACTTCTACTGCATATAGCTAATATTCTTTGATATTTGGTTAGAAGGCGTTATGTATTTCCAAAACTTTGTTTACTTTAATGTAGCTGTAAGCTAGGTGTTGATAGCAACTGGATGACTTATTCAGTGCTAATGTAATGTTAGCAGGCTGGTAAGGCTAACATTAGCAGGCTAGTTGGCTAGCAACCTTGCAAGTTGATTTGTAACAAATTCGTAAAGTATTGGCTTGTAAGTTGGCTGAAAATGTAATTGAAACCAATAGTCCTGAGTGCAAATTATTTGTTTTCATTTGAAATGTTCCATTTGAAGTTATTTCTGTTGGAGTTTACATTATAGGGAATAGGCTGGATTGCCGCGTCCTCCATATTACATCATACCCCCGGAAAAACATTTTCCGACAAGTGAGGTGTAACTTTGCATTGGGACTTTTGATGCATATACTAATGCAAATTCATATGTAACATGTGGTTACGTTTATGCTACCTACCCTTTAAATATGATTTACATTTTAGTCATTTAGCAGACGCTCTTATCCAGAGCGACTTACAGTTAGTGAGTACATACATTTTTCATACACGATGTAGTATAGTTCACCTTCAGTCCACATGGGGCCTCTGTGTCACTGTTAGAAGATATGTGCTTCAGTCAGAAAAAACGTTCTATCATCTCTTCGGTCTCAGCTAGGTAGCCAGCCAGTAGCTACCGAAGTAGCTAGCCAGCCAAGCTAGCTACAGAAACGAAACCCATCAAATTCGCTCGCTGGAAAGATACACTTTTCCTAAATATACTGTTAAATAACTGAGTGACACCCAATAGCTTAAGGGTGCTGAGCGCTAACTCTAGCTTATTAGCATTAGCCAACCTTTATGTTGAGGTAGATTAACTAGTTAGCTACCACCAACCCTGCACAAGCCTGTGGCTAACTCTGCTGCTTCAGCTGCACTTTGACTTTCTGGCTGTTCTGCCCTCTCTACCTCATTCACTGCTGCCTCATCTTGCTCAACCTCCTCGCTTTTTTTGCCACTGCTTTCGGAAGAAGTTCAGAATATCCATATTTGCTCTGTGCTATATGCACGACCAATCACAGCAGGCACCACATCACTCCAGGGGCTTCTTGCAGTGTCTGCTACTGCCTCGCGCAGTATGTTGTATTGTTTATTTTTTCATTAATGTGCGGTTATGGAAACTCATCAGACGGAAATAAAAATCTATATTTTTTGGGGTACGAACAAAAGACTGAAGCCCCGGATGCCCAGGCCTAATGACGCCGTTGCTACTGATAGGATAACAGAAGCCCTGGGGGGTCAAGATGGAGCACGGTCAATGGGCCTTTACACACCTTTCCCGCTGCTGGCATTCTGGTCCCGTCAGTATAGAGGAACGCACACTAACGCCCTGGACCAGAGCCAGCATTCTCCTAAATATTTCCCTCCAACACATCATGAGACTGGATATCAAGGGCAGTAGTTCTAGTCGTCAGGGTGCTTTATTATGGCCCTCGCTGCAGATGGAAGAGGATCCCGACATTGTGAACCGCAACACCGAGCTGGATGACATCCTCAGACAAATATCAGAGCTGGGCAAATGGAGAGAGATCTTCAACGCCAGTGGGTAAGTTGGAGAAGTCAATTTCACCTTTCCAATTATTGCTTTAGTTGGGTCATTGTGTAGGCCTGTGCAGTAATTATGAGAAGTCGATGCTGTTTTATAGCCTCAACACATCTAGTACATGAAGAAATATTCAAGCAAGACCATGCACATTACTTTAAACTTATCAGATCATTTTTATTTACAGGTTGGAATTACAAGATTGTATCATTAAAGTAAGTTGTGTGTTTTCTTTTACATTAAATAACTTGAAAATGTCAAAATAAACTTTGGGTCATACTTGAATCTGATTTTCATTTCCATGAAATGCCTCTGCATGGATTCATTGCTCACCAATGCAATGAATAGAAATGTGATTTTGTTGAATACATTGAAATACATAAAACAGTAAAAAAATGTGTACCAAACATTAAGAACACCTGCTCTTTCTATGACAGACTGACCAGGTAAATACAGGTTAAAGCTATGATCCCTTATTGATGTCAGTAAAGATGAAGGGGAAGAGACAGGTTAAATAAGGATTTTTAAGCCTTGAGACATTTGAGACATGGATTGTGTATGTGTACCATTCAGAGGGGCAAGACAAAATATTTAAGTGCCTTTGAACGGGGTATGGTAGTAGGTGCCAGGCGCATTGGTTTGTGTCAAGAACTTTAACACTGCTGTGTTTTTCACGCTCAAGGCAGTTTCTCGTGTGTATCAAGAATGGTCCACCACCCAAAGGACATCCAGCCAACTTGACACAACCTGCATTGCTTGCTGTTTGAGGTTTTAGGCTGGGTTTCTGTATAGCACTTTGTGACATCTGCTGATGTAAAAAGGGCTTTATATATCAAATGTGATTGATTGATTGATTGATGGGGGGGTTGTTCTTAATGTTTTGTACACTCAGTGTATATAGCCTACTTATAAATATGAATCAATTTAAAAGAGAGGTTCTTAGTTTTATGACATTCTCTTTGTGAATCCATGACCACATATTGTGACCATAAGCACTTGCACACCTGCATCTCCCATCTCACCTGCACTTCTTGCATAAGTCAGTTAGGCCAAACCTTACATTTTCAGTGCGATAGCTGATCCTATGCAGATGCTCTTCTCAGATAACTGCATGTCACTCCTATCCAATCAGACAATGTGGTGCAGTGAGGGGTGGGGTGGGGGGTTGCCTTTTCGTCACTGAACCTGATCTGCCTCGGAAAGACCAGGAACCGAGAGAGCGAGGAGAAAGAGAGAGAACTGTGTGGGGCATATACGTTTCCTGCTCACCCAGCAAGGCTTACTCTATCGCTCCCTCCGTCATCTGTCTCTCTCTGTATCCTTCGCTCTCTGCCTCTCTCTTTCCCCTATATATCTCCCTGTCTACCACACCTCTTGGCGACTTCATGTGGAGAGTGTGTATAGTATAGGTGTCGTCGTGCTGTAGTTAGGGTTAGGGGTGTCGAGCCCTGTGGCGTGATGACAGACTACCAGGAGCTCCTACAGACCATCCGGGATCTGCAGCCCTCCAGACTCGGCTACATCGAGATCCTTCAAGAGGAGGTAAAGAGGAACCAGGATGTGAGTGATGACAGATGCCTCTGACAGGGTTGGTGTCAATTCCGTTTCAGTTCAGAACGCAAATTGCCAATTCAGGACATGAATTGACTGAATTGAAATGAAATTGACCCCAACCCTGACCTCCACTATCGCTGCGCTGGTCCCCTCCGGAGCCAGCATAACTTTTCCACAACATAGTTGTCTCTATGTCTGTCCTTCTCTTTCTCTGCTTCCATTTCGATCTCTTTGTCAGCAGACGTTTTGGCAACTACATATAGAGAGTGTGTATAGACTCCTAGAGAGTATGTGTATGGCCCCATCCAGTCACATGCCCTCATATCGTCACATGGCAAGACAAGGATATGCTATGGCACTGGGTCATTTAATATACAGTGCCTTCAGAAAGTATTCACACCCCTTGACTTATTCCACATTTTGTTGTGTTACAGCCCGAATTCAAAATTGATTAAATTGCTTTTTTTCCCTCACCCATCTACACACAGTACCCTATAATGACAAAGTGAAAACATGTTTTTAGACATTTTTGTAAATTTACTGAGAATGAAATATATCATTTACATAAGTATTCACACCCCAGATCAATACTTTGTAGAATGACCTTTGGCAGCGATTACAGCTGTGAGTCTTTCAGGGTAAGAGCTTTTTACACCTGCTTTGAACACCAACATTTGCCCATTATTCTTATAAAAGTTTTTCAAGATCTGTCAAATTGGTTGTTGATCATTGCTAGACAACCATTTACAGGTCTTGGCATAGATTTTCAAATAGATTTAAGTCAACATTTTAACTCGGCCACTCAGGAACATTCACTGTCTTCTTGGTGAGAAACTCCAGTGTAGATTTGGCATTGTGTTTTAGGTTATTGTCCTGCTGAAAGGTGAATTCATCTTCTAGTGTCTGGTGGAAAGCAGACTGAGCCAGGTTTTCCTTTAGGATTTTTCCTGTGCTGAGCTCCATTCTGTTTATTTTTTATCCTGAAAAACTACCCAGTCCTTAACGATGACAAGCATACCCATAACATGATGCAGCCACCACTATACTTGAACAAAATGATACAATGGTGCTGGAGGGGATGGCTGCCGTTTTACGGGCTCATAACAACTGTGCTATTTTGTGTGTTTTTCGCATTGTTTGTAACTCATTTTGTACATAATGTTTCCGCTACCGTCTCTTATGGATATCAGAACAGCGATTACTCATCTCAAACTGGATGAAGATTTTTTCTTTAATGAGTCCATCGTGAAGGATATAATGCTTCTCCGAGACCAGGCCCAAATCCCCATCATTCACGTGAAGAAAATACGGAAATACAGGGGGCGGAGATCGGGGTGCCTTGTTAGAATTCGTCGGCGAGTGGGTAACCCACCTCTACCATCCGTTCTATTGGCCAAAGTGCAATCACTGGAAAATAAACAGGATGATCTCCATTCGAGACTATCCTACCAACATCACATTCAAAACTGTAATATCTTTTGTTTCACTGAGTCGTGGCTGAACGACGACAAGGACAATATACAATTGGCTGGGTTTTCCATTCATTGGCAGGACAGAACAGCTATGTCTGGTAAGACGAAGGGTGGGGGTGTGTGTCTATTTGTCAATAACAGCTGGTGCGCAATGTCTAATATTAAGGAAGTCTCAAGGTATTGCTTGCCTGAGGTAGAGTACCTCATGATAAACTGTAGACCACACCATCTACCAAGAGAGTTTTCATCTACATTTTTCATAGCGTCTATTAACCACCACAAACCGAAGCTGGCACTAAGACCTCACTCTACCAGCTGTATAAGGCCATAAGCAAACAAGAAAATGCTCATCCAGAAGCGGCACTCCTAGTGGCCGGGGACTTTAATGCAGGCAAACTTAAATCAGTTTTACCTCATGTCTACCAGCATGTCACATGTGCAACCAGAGGGAAACAAAACTCTAGACCACCTTTACTCCACATACAGAGATGCATACAAAGCTCTCCCTCACCCTGCATTTGGCAAATCTGACCATAATTCTGTCCTCCTGATTCCTGCTTATAAGCAAAAACTAAAGCAGGAAGTACCAGTGACTTGCTCAATACGGAAGTGGTCAGATGATGCGGATGCTACACTACAGGACTGTTTTGCTATCACAGACTGGAATATGTTCCTGGATTCATCCAATGGCATTGAGGAGTATACCACCTCAGTCACCGGCTTCATCAATAAGTGCGTCGATGACGTCGTCCCCACAGTGACCGTATGTACATATCCCGACCAGAAGCCGTGGATTACAGGCAACATCTGCACCGAGCTAAAGGCTAGAGCTGCCGCTTTCAAGGAGCGGGACGCTAATCCGGACGCTTTATAAGAAATCCCGCTATGCCCACAGAAGAATCATCATACAGGCAAAGTGTCAATACAGGACTAAGATTGAATCCTACTACACCGGCTCTGATGCTCTTCAGATGTGGCAGGGCTTGAAAACTATTACGGACTACAAAAGGAAACCCAGCTGCGAGCTGCCTAGTGACGCGAGCCTACCAGACGAGCTAAATGCCTTTTATGCTCGCTTCGAGGCAAGCAACAATGAAGCATGCATGAGAGCACCAGCTGTTCCGGACGACTGTGTGATCACACTCTCCGTAGCCGATGTGAGCAAGACCTTTAAACAGGTCAACATTCACAAGGCCACGGGGCCAGACGGATTACCAGGAAGTGTACTCAGAGCATGCATGGACCAACTGGCATGTGTGTTCACTGACATTTTCAACCTCTCCCTGACCGAGTCTGTAATACCTACAAGTTTCAAGCAGACCACCATAGTCCCTGTGCCAAAAAAACGAAGGTAACCTGCCTAAATGACTACCGCCCCGTAGCACTCACGTCGGTAGCCATGAAGTGCTTTGAAAGGCTGGTCATGGCTCACATCAACACCATCATCCCGGAAACCCTAGACCCACTCCAATTTGCATACCACCCCAACAGATCCACAGATGACGCAATCTCAATCGCATTCCACACTGCCCTTTCCCACCTGGACAAAAGGAACACCTATGTGAGAATGCTGTTCATTGACTATAGCTCAGCGTTTAACACCAAAGTGCCCACAAAGCTCATCACTAAGCTAAGGATCCTGGGACTAAACACCTCCCTCTGCAACTGGATGCTAGACTTCCTGACGGGACGCCCCCAGGTGGTAACGGTAGTTAACAACACATCTGCCACGCTGATCCTCAACACGGGGGCCCCTCAGGGGTGCGTGCTTATTCCCCTCCTGTACTCCCTGTTCACCCACGACTGCGTGGCCAAGCACTACTCCAATACCATCATTGAATTTGCTGATGACACATCAGTGGTAGGCCTGATCACCGAAACGATGAGACAGTCTATAGGGAGGAGGTCAGGGACCTGGCATATGGTGCCTTGACAGCAACCTCTCCTACAGGAAAAGGAGTGCCGATCACGCCCCCATTCACATCGACAGGGCTGTAGTGGAGCGGGTCGAGAGTTTCAAATTCTTTGGTGTCCACATTACCAACAAACTGTCATGGTCCAAACACACCAAGAAAGTCGTGAAGAGGGCACAACAACACCTTTCCCCCTCAGGAGACTGAAAAGATTTGGCCTGGGTCCCCAGATCCTCAAAAAGGTATACTGCTGCACCATCGAGAGTATCCTGACCGCTTGCATCACCGCCTGGTATGGCAACTGCTCGGCATCTGACCGTAAGGCACTACAGAGGGTAGTGCGTATGGCCCAGTACATCACTGGGGCCAAGCTTCCTGCCATCCAGGACCTACAGTTGAAGTCGGAAGTTTACATACACCTTAGCCAAATACATTTAAACTCAGTTTTTCACAATTCATGACATTTAATCCTAGTAAAAATTCCCTGCCTTAGGTCAGTTAGGATCAACACTTTATTTTGAGAATGTGAAATGTCAGAATAATAGTAGAGAGAATGATTTCTTTCAGCTTTTATTTCTTTCATCACTTTCCCAGTGGGTCAGAAGTTTACATACACTCAATTAGTATTTGTTAGCATTGCCTTTAAATTGTTTAACTTGGGTCAAATGTATTGGGTAGCCTTCCACAAGCTTCCCACAATATGTTGAATTTTGGCCCATTCCTCCTGACAGAGCTGGTGTAACTGAGTCAGGTTTGTAGGCCTCCTTGCTCGCACACGCTTTTTCAGTTCTGCCCACAAATGTTCTATAGGATTGAGGTCAGGGCTTTGTGATGGCCACTCCAATACATTGACTTTGTTGTCCTTAAGCCATTTTGCCACAACTTTGGAAGTATGCTTGGGGTCATTGTCCATTTGGAAGACCCATTTGCGACCAAGCTTTAACTTCCTGACTGATGTCTTGAGATGTTGCTTCAATATATCCACACAATATTCCTTCCTCATGATGCCATCTATTTTGTGAAGTGCACCAGACCCTCCTGCAGCAAAGCACCCCCACAGCATGATGCTGCCACCCCTGTGCTTCACGGTTCGGATGGTGTTCTTCGGCTTGCCAGCGACCCCCTTTTTCCTCCAAACATAACGATGGTCATTATGGTCAAACAGTTTTATTTTTGTTTCATCAGACCAGAGGACATTTCTCCAAAAAGTATGATCTTTGTTCCCATGTGCAGTTGCAAACCGTAGTCTGGCTTTTTTATGGCGGTTTTGGAGCAGTGGCTTCTTCCTTGCTGAGCGGCCATTCAGGTTATGTCGATATAGGACTCGTTTTACTGTGGATATAGATACTTTTGTACCTGTTTCCTCCAGCATCTTCACAAGGTCCTTTGCTGTTGTTCTGGGATTGATTTGCACTTTTCGCACCAAAGTACGTTCATCTCTAGGAGACAGAACGCGTCTCCTTCCTGAGCGGGATGACGGCTGCGTGGTCCCATGGTGTTTATACTTGCGTACTATTGTTTGTACAGATGAACGCGGTACCTTCAGGCATTTGGAAATTGCTCCCAAGGATGAACCAGACTTGTGGAGGTCTATATAATATTTTCTGAGGTCTTGGCTGATTTCTTTTGATTTTCTCATGATGTCAAGCAAAGAGGCACTGAGTTTTTGAAGTTAGACCTTGAAATACTTCCACAGGTACACCTCCAATTGACTCAAATGATGTCAATTAGCCTATCAGAAGCTTCTAAAGCCATGAATTGTGATACAGTGAATTATAAGTGAAGTAATCTGTCTGTAAACAATTGTTGGAAATATTACTTGTGTCATGCACAAAGTAGATGTCCTAACCGACTTGCCAAAACTATAGTTTGTTAAAAATAAATTTGTGGAGTGGTTGAAAAACGACTTTTAATGACTACAACCTAAGTGTTTGTAAACTTCCGACTTCAACTGTATATACTAGGCGGTGTCAGAGGAAGGCCCCAAAAATTGTCAAAGACTCCAGTCACCCAAGTCATAGACTGTTCTCTCTGCTACCGCACGGCAAGCGGTACCGGAGCGCCAAGTCTAGGAACAAAAGGGTCCTTAACAGCTTCTAACCCCAAGTCATAAGACTAATGAACAATTAATCAAATGGCCACCTGGACTATTTACATTGTTTTTACACTGATGCAACTCACTGTTTATTATCTATGCATAGTCACTTTATCCCTACTTACATGTACAAATTACCTCGACTAACCTGTACCCCCGCACATTGACCCGGTACCGGTTCTATTTTTACCCATCTACCAATAGGTGCCCTTCTTTGCGAGGCATTGGAAAACCTCCCTGTTCTTTGTGGTTGAATCTGTGTTTGAAATTCACTGCTCGACTGAGGGACCTTACAGATAATTGTGTGTGTAGGGTACAGAGATGAGGTAGTCATTCAAAAATCATGTTAAACACTATTATTGCACACAGAATGAGTCCATGCAACTTATTATGTGACTTGATAAGCACATTTTTACTCCTGAATTTATTTAGGCTTGCCATAACAAAGGGGTTGAATACCTATTGACTCAAGACATTTCAGCTTTTAATTTTTATTAATTTGTAAACATTTCAAAAACATAATTCCACTTTGACATTATGGGGTATTGTGTGTAGGCCAGTGAAAAAAATCTTAATTTAATCCATTTTAAATTCAGGCTGTAACACAACACAATGTGGAAAAAGTCAAGGGGTGTGAATAATTTCTGAAGGCACTGTATTTGTGCCACAGTGTCCAAACTGGATGGAAAACAAAACAGCCATGAGGGCAACTGTGTTGAATGCTGAGAGATGGAGACAGAGAGACACATAGCGGCAGAGAGTTCAACCATATGTTTACCATCATCTCATTCATGTAACATTATCATATTTCAGGTTCAATCCAAGGCGCGTTATAGAGCAACAAACTAGATGTGCCGATAATGTACCTTTGAAAGGCATTTTCCCAGATTTGTCCAGAAATCGCATTCACAGTAAATGCTGCGCATGTCAGCATATTCCAACAATTGTGTGTTGTTGGAATATGTGGGACATTGTGATGGATAAGGTGGGATCTTTCTGATGGTCTCTGTCACTTCTCTCTGTAGAGGCCTCTGGAGAGGACTAAACCTGAGGAGGACAGCGAGGATGGCACAGGCAGGCCGCCGACCACGGCACAGCCGCCTCGTGGACACACCAACCTATTGACAGTGCCCTATTCCATCCCCCGGGCCCTGGCTGTCTCTCCTAGCCTAGGAGGGCTCCCCGTCACACCCGAGTTAGCTGGGGTGAGTCTGCGCTAGCAACATGAGCTGGTCATTTGACACCTGCGGCCTCCCACTGCTGTGTTTGTTTGTTTCACTGTGTGAGTGTGTGTGTGTGTGTGCACATGCGTAGGCATGCCTAACCAAAGACAAAAGAGCAGCAATATAGAGTCCTTATTTATTCATGGCCCTCTTAAGCAGTGGACTGAGTTAGCAAGTGTGGTCATCTGAAAATAAGTAAACAAAGCCTTTTACTACAGACAAATTATCTGGAAACTGTTTTTGATTAGTTGTTTTCCGTGCAGTGTCTGTTGACATCTGTCAAATCTAGGACTGTAGCGGTCATAACATTTTGTCAGATGGTGATTGTCAAGCAAATAACTGCCGGTCTCACAGTAATTGACCATTAATTAACATAAACACATTTAGCATCTCCTGGCTTCCACGCATAGCCTACAAGCCACTGATGTCTATTTCAGAAGGACAGAATAGCATACTCTGAACTGTCCACATGTTAGGCCCTGATCTGCCTATGCCATGTGGCTGTGGGCTACACTAGTTCATTTAGCAAAATATTTGCTTAGAATTTCGTGGCATTATTTTATATAATTTTATAGTATGAATAATACAATTGAACATAGCTGAATAAAATAGAAAGGATATTTTCTCCAACCGATTTCCGAGGGATGCGGCTATTCTGTGTTGAGCGGTTAACAAAGAAACAGGTCCTCCTATATGCTTAATTTAGAGTTATTTATGCAACTTTAGTTGGGCTGTATGTTTTGATTTTTAATACATTCTAAGGCTGCATGTTGCGACTCTAAGGATTTGAAAAAAGTAGCATGAAAGGCATGAGCTCTGCTTTGTTTCTTGTGCAGGCTGCACACACTTCATCAGTCTCTCATTCACAAGCACTTGATAATATTCTCACCAGGCCTCGAATTTACTGGTGGCATTCCCCTTGTGTGGCCTTAATGCCCCCTAAAAAATCCATGCCCTTTGCGGCCAAAGTGGCCGTTGTGCCCTTGGGTTGAATATAATAATTATAATTCCCTTCTCCCAGCAGCCTGCTCCAAAGCACCTCTCACTTACAGTGGGGAAAAAAAGTATTTAGTCAGCCACCAATTGTGCAAGTTCTCCCACTTAAAAAGATGAGAGAGGCCTGTCATTTTCATCATAGGTACACGTCAACTATGACAGACAAAATGAGGAAAAAAAATCCAGAAAATCACATTGTAGGATTTTTTATGAATTTATTTGCAAATTATGGTGGAAAATAAGTATTTGGTCAATAACAAAAGTTTCTCAATACTTTGTTATATACCCTTTGTTGGCAATGACACAGGTCAAACGTTTTCTGTAAGTCTTCACAAGGTTTTCACACACTGTTGCTGGTATTTTGGCCCATTCCTCCATGCAGATCTCCTCTAGAGCAGTGATGTTTTGGGGCTGTCGCTGGGCAACACAGACTTTCAACTCCCTCCAAAGATTTTCTATGGGGTTGAGATCTGGAGACTGGCTAGGCCACTCCAGGACCTTGAAATGCTTCTTACGAAGCCACTCCTTCTTTGCCCGGGCAGTGTGTTTGGGATCATTGTCATGCTGAAAGACCCAGCCACGTTTCATCTTCAATGCCCTTGCTGATGGAAGGAGGTTTTCACTCAAAATCTCACGATACATGGCCCCATTCATTCTTTCCTTTACACGGATCAGTCGTCCTGGTCCCTTTGCAGAAAAACAGCCCCAAAGCATGATGTTTCCACCCCCATGCTTCACAGTAGGTATGGTGTTCTTTGGATGCAACTCAGCATTCTTTGTCCTCCAAACACGACGAGTTGAGTTTTTACCAAAAAAGTTCTATTTTGGTTTCATCTGACCATATGACATTCTCCCAATCATTTACATACATTTACATTTACGTCATTTAGCAGACGCTCTTATCCAGAGCGACTTACAAATTGGTGCATTCACCCTATAGCCAGTGGGATAACCACTTTACAATATGTTAATTTTTCATTTGTTTTTATTTCATTTTTTAAAATTATTTATATATATAGTATTTTTTATTTTTTTTAATTATTTTTTTGGTGTGGGGGGGGGGGGGGGGGGGGCTGGGGGGGTAGAAGGATTACTTTATCCTATCCCAGGTATTCCTTAAAGAGGTGGGGTTTCAAATGTCTCCGGAAGGTGGTGAGTGACTCCGCTGTCCTGGCGTCGTGAGGGAGCTTGTTCCATTGGGGTGCCAGAGCAGCGAACAGTTTTGACTGGGCTGAGCGGGAACTATGCTTCCGCAGAGGAAGGGGAGCCAGCAGGCCAGAGGTGGATGAACGCAATGCCCTCGTTTGGGTGTAGGGACTGATCAGAGCCTGAAGGTACAGAGGTGCCGATCCCCTCACAGCTCCATAGGCAAGCACCATGGTCTTGTAACAGATGCGAGCTTCAACTGGAAGCCAGTGGAGTGTGCGGAGGAGCGGGGTGACGTGAGAGAACTTGGGAAGGTTGAACACCAGACGGGCTGCGGCATTCTGGATGAGTTGTAGGGGTTTAATGGCACAGGCAGGGAGCCCAGCCAACAGCGAGTTGCAGTAATCCAGACGGGAGATGACAAGTGCCTGGATTAGGACCTGTGCCGCTTCCTGTGTAAGGCAGGGTCGTACTCTCCGAATGTTGTAGAGCATGAACCTGCAGGATCGGGTCACCGCCTTGATGTTAGCGGAGAACGACAGGGTGTTGTCCAGGGTCACGCCAAGGCTCTTCGCACTCTGGGAGGAGGACACAACGGAGTTGTCAACCGTGATGGCGAGATCATGGAACGGGCAGTCCTTCCCCGGGAGGAAGAGCAGCTCCGTCTTGCCAGGGTTCAGCTTGAGGTGGTGATCCGTCATCCATACTGATATGTCTGCCAGACATGCAGAGATGCGATTCGCCACCTGGTTATCAGAAGGGGGAAAGGAGAAGATTAGTTGTGTATCGTCAGCGTAGCAATGATAGGAGAGGCCATGTGAGGATATGACAGAGCCAAGTGACTTGGTGTATAGGGAGAATAGGAGAGGGCCTAGAACTGAGCCCTGGGGGACACCAGTGGTGAGAGCACGTGGTGCGGAGACAGCTTCTCGCCACGCCACTTGGTAGGAGCGACCGGTCAGGTAGGACGCAATCCAGGAGTGAGCCGCGCCGGAGATGCCCAGCTCGGAGAGGGTGGAGAGGATCTGATGGTTCACAGTATCAAAGGCAGCAGACAGGTCTAGAAGGACAAGAGCAGAGGAGAGAGAGTTAGCTTTAGCAGTGCGGAGAGCCTTCGTGACACAGAGAAGAGCAGTCTCAGTTGAATGACCAGTCCTGAAACCTGACTGGTTTGGATCAAGAAGGTCATTCTGAGAGAGATAGCAAGAGAGTTGGCTAAAGACGGCACGCTCAATAGTTTTGGAAAGAAAAGAAAGAAGGGATACTGGTCTGTAGTTGTTGACATCAGTGGGATCGAGTGTTGGTTTTTTGAGAAGGGGTGCAACTCTCGCTCTCTTGAAGACGGAAGGGACATAGCCAGCGGTCAAGGATGAGTTGATCAGCGAGGTGAGGTAGGGGAGAAGGTCACCGGAGATGGTCTGGAGAAGAGAGGAGGGGATGGGGTCAAGCGGGCAGGTTGTTGGGCGGCCTGCAGTCACAAGTCGCAGGATTTTATCTGGAGAGAGAGGGGAGAAAGAAGTCAAAGCATAGGGTAGGGCAGTGTGAGTAGGACCAGCAGTGTCATTAGACTTAACAAACGAGGATCGGATGTCGTCAACCTTCTTTTCAAAGTGGTTGACGAAGTCATCCACAGAGAGAGAGGGGGGGGGGGGGGGGGGGGAGGATTCAGCAGGGAGGAGAACGTGGCAAAGAGCTTCCTAGGGTTAGAGGCAGATGCTTGGAATTTAGAGTGGTAGAAAGTGGCCTTAGCAGCAGAAACAGATGAAGAAAATGTAGAGAGGAGGGAGTGAAAAGATGCCAGGTCGGCAGGGAGTTTAGTTTTCTTCCATTTCCGCTCCGCTGCTGCCCGGAGCTCTGTTCTGTGAGCTCGCAATGAGTCATCAAGCCACGGAGCTGGAGGGGAGGACCGAGCCGGCCGGGAGGATAGGGGACACAGAGATTCAAAGGATGCAGAAAGGGAGGAGAGGAGGGTTGAGGAGGCAGAATCAGGAGATTGGAGGGAGAAGGATTGAGCAGAGGGAAGAGATGATAGGATGGAAGAGGAGAGAGTAGTGGGAGAGAGAGAGCGAAGGTTGCGGCGGCGCATTACCATCTGTGTAGGGGCAGAGTGAGTAGTGTTGGAGGAGAGCGAGAGAGAAAAGGAAACAAAGTAGTGGTCGGAGACATGGAGGGGAGTTGCAGTGAGATTAGTAGAAGAGCAGCATCTAGTAAAGATGAGGTCAAGCGTATTGCCTGCCTTGTGAGTAGGGGGGGACGGTGAGAGGGTGAGGTCAAAAGAGGAGAGGAGTGGAAAGAAGGAGGCAGAGAGAAATGAGTCAAATGTAGACGTAGGGAGGTTGAAATCCCCCAAAACTGTGAGGGGTGAGCCATCCTCAGGAAAGGAACTTATCAAGGCGTCAAGCTCATTGATGAACTCTCCAAGGGAACCTGGAGGGCGATAGATGACAAGGATATTAAGCTTAAATGGGCTAGTGACTGTGACAGCATGGAATTCAAATGAGGAGATAGACAGATGGGTTAGGGGAAAAATTGAGAATGTCCACTTGGGAGAGATGAGGATTCCTGTGCCACCACCCCTCTGACCAGATGCTCTCGGGGTATGCGAGAACACATGGTCTTCTGCATCATCCAAATGCACTCTAGCAAACTTCAGACGGGCCTGGACATGTACTGGCTTAAGCAGGGGGACACGTCTTGCACTGCAGGATTTGAGTCCCTGGCGGCGTAGTGTGTTACTGATGGTAGGCTTTGTTACTTTGGTCCCAGCTCTCTGCAGGTCATTCACTAGGTCCCCCCGTGTGGTTCTGGGATTTTTGCTCACCGTTCTTGTGATCATTTTGACCCCACGGGGTGAGATCTTGCGTGGAGCCCCAGATCGAGGGAGATTATCAGTGGTCTTGTATGTCTTCCATTTCCTAATAATTGCTCCCACAGTTGATTTCTTCAAACCAAGCTGCTTACCTATTGCAGATTCAGTCTTCCCAGCCTGGTGCAGGTCTACAATTTTGTTTCTGGTGTCCTTTGACAGCTCTTTGGTCTTGGCCATAGTGGAGTTTGGAGTGTGACTGTTTGAGGTTGTGGACAGGTGTCTTTTATACTGATAACAAGTTCAAACAGGTTCCATTAATACAGGTAACGAGTGGAGGACAGAGGAGCCTCTTAAAGAAGAAGTTACAGGTCTGTGAGAGCCAGAAATCTTGCTTGTTTGTAGGTGACCAAATACTTATTTTCCACCATAATTTGCAAATAAATTCATTAAAAATCCTACAATGTGATTTTCTGGAGAAAAAAAATCTCAATTTGTCTGTCATAGTTGACGTGTACCTATGATGAAAATTACAGGCCTCTCTCATCTTTTTAAGTGGGAGAACTTGCACAATTGGTGGCTCTCTCAGATATTTCAATTCTTATTGGCCAATGTCAGTCACGTGATAGGGTCCTTCTCACAGCCATCTTAGCTCCGAAGTAGGCTACAAGTGAAGACCGACACATCAGGGACAAAACTGCGAGCATCCCTCTACTCGAATTCCGAGGCGCATATTGAAGATGTTAGAAGCACTGTCCACAAGATAAGTAGGCCTAATGAACAGCAAAAGCACTAGCCTATGTCAGTCTACTATCCCTTATAATACAAAAGTTTACCTATTCTATTGGTCAACTTCTCCTTCTATGCGAGAAATAAATATTCCAAACATACTCTGGGACTGTTGTGGGATGCGATAGATCCCAAATTAATACAACCACTCGCATCAAAAAAATGTTTAAAAGCAATGAGGCTGATGCAACAGATCAGACATTTAGCTTAAAATGTTGATAAACTATGCGCACACGGCAGTAGGCTATAAGCGTAAATGTTCCAAAATGCAATCAATTAGCGGGAAAATAGTGTTCTCAAAAGTGACCGCAAATGTGAATATGCATGTAATGCTTTATTATAAAGGTGCATTTTTATGGTGAAAATGATCTTCCCCAAACTTGAAACTCACGCGCCACCTTTGTACGCCAGTTAGGCTCTACACCGGTTGTAAAACGGATTAATGTGCTTAGTTTTAAGAAGTTATTTGGCCACTTTAGTTGTGATACAAACCTTATCAAAACATATAGGCCTATGGGCTAGGCTACATGAGGTGTGCGACTATGATTGGAAAAGTCATAGTCATGCTGGGCATCATTCACAAGTGATAACACATCATTCACAAGTGATAGACTAATATTGTCACCCATCAGACTACTAAATAATATGCTGTATGTGTGATATTAGTTGTGATTTAGAATGGACCATTATCATGCATGTGTCTCGGAACAGGGGCAGGCGAGAAAAATATGTCATCTATGTACTTACAGTGCATTCGGAAAGTATTCAGACCCCTTGACTTTTTCCACATTTTGTTACGTTACAGCCTTATTCTAAAATTGATACAATTGTTTTTTCCCCCTCATCAATCTACACACAATACCCCATAATGACAAAGCAAAAACAGGTTTTTAGAAACGTTTGCACATTTATTAAAAATACAAAGCTGATATCACATTTACATAAGTATTCAGCCCCTTTACTCAGTACTTTGTTGAAGCGCCTTTGGCAGCAATTACAGCCTCGAGTCTTCTTGGGCATGACGCTACAAGCTTGGCACGCCTGTATTTGGGGAGTTTCTCCCATTCTTCTCTGCAGATCCTCTCAAGCTCTGTCAGGTTGGATGGGGAGCGTCGCTGCACAGCTATTTTCAGGTCTCTCCAGAGATGTTCGATCGGGTTCACGTCCAGGCTCTGGCTGGGCCACTCAAGGACATTCAGAGAGACTTGTCCTGAAGCCACTCCTGCGTAGTCAAAACCAATGTGAATCTTGCATGGACGGACAGGGACCAGAAATAGGCTCGGGAATTTCTAATAGGCCAATTTTTTGTCCTCAAAGCCACCACATTGGCCTATATTCTTCCTTGACCCTAACACATTGTTTCCCAAATAATTATAATTTTGCACAAAAACCCCAGTTTAGACAGACCCACTGGGCGAAAGATGGACCTTTGACTGTTGCCTCTCAAAATAAGTAGAAATGTACCTAGAGTTGAATTACAAAGGTAGAGGTTTGATTAGAAACATTCAGATAGGATACGTGTTTTTTTGTCTTTCAGAACCTAAGGAAGATTTTGTTCGGCAATACTTTTTACGTCTTCAACTATGAGTGGAAGAAGTCCTTCTTCAAATTCAGGGAACCCTACTCCAACCTGTCCTATGCCCTGGAGGCAGAAAGAGTGAGTGAACAAACAGTGTCCCCCAATAATCTCTCCTTCTTCCTGAAGTGTGCACTCATTCACTATAAAGGGAACAAGTGCACACTTCAGAAGAAAGGACCGATTATTGGGATGCAACCAGTGTTGCGGAGGGGAACTTTGAAAAAGGGTGGAGAGACTTTGGTCAAGAGTAGCAGTGTGGACTTTTGATAATTGAAGGATAATTGACTTGAATAGACTAGTAAAACTAGCCCGTACACAACCAAATCGTTTTTTTTAAAAACACTATATGCTAGGGATATACACTGCTCAAAAAAATAAAGGGAACACTTAAACAACACAATGTAACTCCAAGTCAATCACACTTCTGTGAAATAAAACTGTCCACTTAGGAAGCAACACTGATTGACAATACATTTCACATGCTGTTGTGCAAATGGAATAGACAACAGGTGGAAATTATAGGCAATTAGCAAGACACCCCCAATAAAGAAGTGGTTCTGCAGGTGGTGACCACAGACCACTTCTCAGTTCCTAGGCTTCCTGGCTGATGTTTTGGTCACTTTTGAATGCTGGCGGTGCTTTCACTCTAGTGGTAGCATGAGACGGAGTCTACAACCCACACAAGTGGCTCAGGTAGTGCAGCTCATCCAGGATGGCACATCAATGCGAGCTGTGCCAAGAACGTTTGCTGTGTCTGTCAGCGTAGTGTCCAGAGCATGGAGGCGCTACCAGGAGACAGGCCAGTACATCAGGAGACGTGGAGGAGGCCGTAGGAGGGCAACAACCCAGCAGCAGGACCGCTACCTCCGCCTTTGTGCAAGGAGGAGCAGGAGGAGCACTGCCAGAGCCCTGCAAAATGACCTCCAGCAGGCCACAAATGTGCATGTGTCTGCTCAAACGGTCAGAAACAGACTCCATGAGGGTGGTATGAGGGCCCGACGTCCACAGGTGGGGGTTGTGCTTACAGCCCAACACCGTGCAGGACGTTTGGCATTTGCCAGAGAACACCAAGATTGGCAAATTTGCCACTGGCGCCCTGTGCTCTTCACAGATGAAAGCAGGTTCACACTGAGCACGTGACAGACGTGACAGAGTCTGGAGACGCCGTGGAGAACGTTCTGCTGCCTACAACATCCTCCAGCATGACCGGTTTGGCGGTGGGTCAGTCATGGTGTGGGGTGGCATTTCTTTGGGGGGCCGCACAGCCCTCCATGTGCTCGCCAGAGGTAGCCTGACTGCCATTAGGTACCGAGATGAGATCCTCAGACCCCTTGTGAGACCATATGCTGGTGCGGTTGGCTCTGGGTTCCTCCTAATTCAAGACAATGCTAGACCTCATGTGGCTAGAGTGTGTCAGCAGTTCCTGCAAGAGGAAGGCATTGATGCTATGGACCGCCCGTTCCCCAGACCTGAATCCAATTGAGCACATCTGGGACATCATGTCTCGCTCCATCCACCAACGCCACGTTGCACCACAGACTGTCCAGGAGTTGGCGGATGCTTTAGTCCAGGTCTGGGAGGAGATCCCTCAGGAGACCATCCGCCACCTCATCAGGAGCATGCCCAGGCATTGTAGGGAGGTCATACAGGCACGTGGAGGCCACACACACTACTGAGCCTCATTTTGACTTGTTTTAAGGACATTACATCAAGTTGGATCAGCCTGTAGTGTGGTTTTCCACTTTAATTTTGAGGGTGACTCCAAATCCAGACCTCCATGGGTTGATAAATTTGATTTCCATTGATAATTTTTGTGTGATTTTGTTGTCAGCACATTAAACTATGTAAAGAAAAAAATATTTAATAAGATTATTTCATTCATTCAGATCTAGGATGTGTTGTTTAAGTGTTCCCTTAATTTTTTTGAGCAATGTATATTTTTTATAGTCATCATAGTTAAAATACTGGCATTTAATGAACTCAGGTTGATGGTGTCAACAGTTGATGCTGTTCTTAGGAAGCTCTGTCTTCCCCCAATGAATTCAAAATCACAGCAGTGTTTTCAGGTTGCCATAGACTGCACGGGGCCAGTTTCTGCATACCTAGCCAGTCAATGTTGATATGGCTGATACTTTACACACTGTCCTTCCCATCAAAACAAACTATTTAAAGATTTTTGAAAGCATTAAAAGGGATAGTTCACTTTTTTTATGTTAAGCAAATGTTTTATATACCTAGGGTTTGGTTGCATCCAAACTATTTTAAGTCCAAAAGTTGATTTAGCAACCTGCACCAAAAATGCTAGCCAGGAGATTCTGGAGGCTGCTAAATAACCAGCTAACAAACTTAGAAAAGGTATGAAAGAAATGGCAACACTGTATGTTGTTTACTATCCTTCTAACAATGTAGAATTGTTACCTTGTCTACATGGACTCTTTCTATACCGCTTCTTTATTGACCAATACCCAGAAGAATCAAATGTGGTTATTTAAAGAATTACAGAGCCATTGGCAGAATTGTAGATGGTTTCATAAGGGCCTCATTCAGGTGATGAACTAATTGCAACGGCACGCCCTGTGTTTTTGCCCAATCTATGAGTCTAATTTAAGAGATAGTTATACCTGTCGAATAAATGCGATGATGACACAAGTTGTTATCTCAGACAGAGGATCGACAGGTGATATTCCTACAAGCTGAAAGGATCAGACCCTTATGTAACAGTTGTAATCGGAGACCGGGGTCTTATGTGTAGTTATGACATAATGCCGTCTCCCTCCTTGTGACTCCTCGGTCCTAAGATCCATACATTTTACATTTTAGTCATTTAGCAGACGCTCTTATCCAGAGCGACTTACAGTTAGTGAATACATATATTTTTATACTGGCCCCCCGTGGGAATCGAACCCACAACCCTGGCGTTGCAAACGCCATGCTCTATCAACTGAGCTACATCCCTGCCGGCCATTCCCTCCCCTACCCTGGACGACGCTGGGCCAATTGTGCGCTGCCCATGAGTCTCCCGGCTGCGACAGAGCCTGGATTCGAACCAGGATCTCTAGTGGCACAGTTAGCACTGCGATGCAGTGCCTTAGACCACTGCGCCACTCAAATGTACCCCTACCACTATCTCTTACATAACTGTAGTAGGATTAGGTTCCACCTTAAACAGACTCATTGGGTAATGGGGTATGTCACTTCTTCGTCCATTTTCAGTGAGTCGGATGTCGAGACACTCCAGACTAGAGTCTAGCCCAAACCAATCAACTGAGATAGACTGCTAAGCTGTTTCCTGGGTGTGAAATCATCACGGTTACACCATCAGCCAGTGGTTGTAAGACTTAATTACAGATCAGTGTCATTATCTCAGGACGTCTCAAGGTGTCTGGTCTCACATAATAAGGTGACTTAATGTTTAGTGTTAAAGGTGACTTAGTGTTAAATGGCTGCCTGTGCAAGATTAGGAACGAGAAATAAACCATGACTCGGAAGGTCAATTAGCTTTGAATGTTTTAAGTTTTAACGGATCTTCCTCAAACAGGGCACTCGTTTTGTTTGACAGCAGTTTTAATGAAACAGCATATTTTTTCTTTAGGGAGGATCCCGTGCCATTCAAATGGTGGTCCAAGCAAACATTATCAAATACTTGCTCTTCACCCGCCAGACCAACTCAGACTGTTGCAGACTGCAAAGGTGAGAAAATGGCTCAAGTCAAATTAAACCGAATCGGACATCACCTGACTAGAAACAGTAAAAGTCATTTTCAAACTATGCCTGCTCCTTGGACCTGGATGGGTCGGAGGCCATAGTCTTAGCCCAGCGTCTCAATAATCTGTCATTTTTACCGTAGTGTGCACTTGTTCTCTTCCCTTCTTCCCTTAAAAGGAAAGGACTGTTAGAAGAAATAACTTGTCTAGCCCGTGCATGTAAATGTGTGAGGAGGAGTGAACGAGTGTACACTTGGGGAGAAAGGACAGATTATTGGGACAAAGGGGGAAAAAGTTGAGACATGCCATTGACTTTGCTCTCTCCCGTCTCTGCTCCTGCCCAGTCTGAGTGAGGTGGGTGAGAAGGAGCAGGAGAGGGCTTTGGCCGCCTCTCTGACTGACATTCTGTGGGCAGCTGGTGAGGAAAGGAGCACCACCATCTCCTTTGTGACGTCAGATTACTGTTTCACCCCCCACCTGGACTACAAACTGGACAACTTCACTGAGAGAGTATGGCCTCAATTGTCATAAGTTACATGACAAGCGTCTCAGAGTAGGAGTGCTGATCTAGGATCAGGTCCTCCCTCTTATTCATTATGATTTAAACGGCAAAACCGGTGCTAAATCGATCCTACTCTGAAACACTTTGTGAATAGCGGTCCAGACCTGAAATAGCCTGTGGTCATCTAGGAACACAGGAATGTCTTTATACATGTATCATGACAGTTCTAGTTTTCACCATTACTAAACCTTCTGCTGGACAATAGTTGTCAAATGTCTCTAGTGTGTAGTGACATCCATCCTGTGCACTGAGAATTTGTTTTTCACTCTTTGTTTCCAGCTACAGCTTTTTAGTTTCAAGAAGAAAGAGGATGTCAGGAAATTTGTCTATGAGCACATCCAATGTGTGAGTAAACAAGTTATTTTTAGCTAATATGTTGGGTAACACTTCCTATAACCTTTGTCATAATGCTCTATGAATGTAGTTACACATGTTTATTAGCAGTTGTAAGCAGCACCAGTATGTTGTACATTATAATGCATTATGCACAGCTCATAAGGCATTATACATTACATGTGCTTACAATGCATTAAGAGATGTAGTCATAGGAAATGTTACAGAATACTGTAGTCATTTCTTGTCATAATTAACATTTAACTGTTTTATGATACCTAACTCACTGCCAATACTCTATTACCATAACTCCTGATCTGTTGATTTAAGTTTGATGTTTCTAGGTTAGCAGTAGTATCTACCTTAAAGGACTGCAATGGTAGTACTGGCTGCCCAGGTTCCAAAGTTTCTGGACCAATACAAAAATAACCTGTTTTGGATGGTGACTGTTTAGTGTCATGTTTCTTTTTCCCCACTCCTACCTGCAGTTTAAAGACGAGGGGAGTCATGGAGTCATCTTGTTTCTCTACAGCTTAATCTTTTCAAGGACCATCGCCAGGTATACAACCACCAGTCCAATACACCGGAGCTCCTTAAAAGGATAGTTCACCCACATTACAATTGAAAGCAATTGATGGACTAGGAGAGACTACAATCCACGCTTTGGATTTGTTTACCTAGCCACTGTTACCAACCACCAGTGCTTGACATGGACTGAAATTGGTGCCGGTACTCATTTTGGTTGCCGGTACTGTTTATATTTAGGTGCAGGAGTTCCACAATAATGTTGTCCTAATATTTTATAAGATGTGCAGGACCTCAAGCAGTAGAACATTTGAGGTGCCGGGTACTCAGTATCAGTGAGCTCCTACCCAAATCAAACACTGCCAACCACTGACTATAGCATTTTCTAACCAAAACCCATTGGAATGTACCCAATATTGGCAAATGTAAAATTTAAAACCCAAAGAGTGGCTTACACGCTGGGCTCTATTTTAACAAACCTTACGCAATGGTCAATCTTAGTGCTGGCGGTAGCGTTATAGGTTCAGGGGTGTATCAGATATTTGTTTTGCTATTTTCACAACCTGAATTATGGGTGCAGTAGCTGGCAGTGGCGCGAAAGTGCTCGGTTTTGATGAAAAAACTAGTTGTAAGTGTGTCGAGGCTTGACCCCTCACTGGCCAATCAGAACGTGCTCCATGGCTAAATATGTGGTTGCTTCAAGTTGTGTATTTATGGTATTTTATGTATTGCGGTGTCATCAACTCCTATTCAAAATAACAAAATGTAGGCCTTTCCCATATTTGCTAAATATGTTGAACATTTTTCTAAATAATTGCATGGCTTCATTGTGGAAATATATTGTTAAACATGGCATTCACACTCAGGGGCATAAATCTGAGGGCGCACAAAGTACGTGATGATCCCTGGGGGGGTGGAAGTTGGAGATTTTTGCATTTTTTAAACATCTGAAACAGCTTTTTCCTGCAATCTAGAGCCACAATTATTATGCTTAATTCTATGTACAAAAATCTGTATATTTCTGTGCATATCTAAGCATACCTCTTGAGCGGGCTTGTTTTTCTAAAAAAAACTAAATATGGTTTTCTGCATCTCTGCTAAAATCTCGGTAAAAGATTGAAAGGACATTTAGTACATTTAGTAATTGCTTGCTTTTCTAAAGTCTACCAACCTTGCCAGCAGGCATGCCAGCTAAGATAGAGTAGCTAGCCTGTCTAACTAACTTGATTGATAGCCTGAAATGGCTTCTTGGATGAGGTTGGGAGAATGGGAACCTATCTGAACTTCATAAAATTGCTAGGTGGCTAGTAGTATTAGAGAAAACAATTTTTTTTTACAGGACAAACCTGAGGGGGCACGTGCCCCTGTTCCCCCTTTGGGCATGTTGCCTTGTTCACACTGATATGGGCCTACTGTAAAATGCATTATGTCTGAGCCATGGACTTGCCAAACGTTGTGAATAAGCAAGATTCAATTCACCATTGATAAGACCTAAAAATACAGAATCATTCACTAATAAAACGAAACAGCAACTTTTTAAATAGGCTATGTCTAAATACAACTGCAGGCACCATAATTGCTCCCCGTGGGTATATAATATTAAGACAACTTAGACTATGGAGGGTTTTACGCACATCCATACTTTTCACAGGAGCTGGAAAAATATCCAATATAAAGAGAAGGGGGAATGTCCACTCACCATTATACTGCTCCCAAATATATACAGTGAGGGAAAAAAGTATTTGATCCACTGCTGATTTTGTAAGTTTGCCCACTGACAAAGACATGATCAGTCTATCATTTTAATGGTAGTTTTATTTGAACAGTGAGAGACAGAATAAAAAATCCAGACAAACGCATGTCAGAAATGTTATAAATTGATTTGCATTTTAATGAGGGAAATAAGTATTTGACCCCTCTGCAAAACATGACTTAGTACTTGGTGGCAAAACCCTTGTTGGCAATCACAGAGGTCAGACGTTTCTTGTAGTTGGCCACCAGGTTTGCACACATCTCAGGAGGGATTTTGTCCCACTCCTCTTTGCAGATCTTCTCCAAGTCATTAAGGTTTCGAGGCTGACGTTTGGCAACTCGAACCTTCAGCTCCCTCCACAGATTTTCTATGGGATTAAGGTCTGGAGACTGGCTAGGCCACTCCAGGACCTTAATGTGCTTCTTCTTGAGCCACTCCTTTGTTGCCTTGGCCGTGTGTTTTGGGTCATTGTCATGCTGGAATACCCATCCACGACCCATTTTCAATGCCCTGGCTGAGGGAAGGAGGTTCTCACCCAAGATTTGATGGTACATGGCCCTGTCCATCGTCCCTTTGATGCGGTGAAGTTGTCCTGTCCCCTTAGCAGAAAAACACCCCCAAAGCATAATGTTTCCACCTCCATGTTTGACGGTGGGGGTGGTGTTCTTGGGGTCATAGGCAGCATCTGACCACAACACTTTCACCCAGTTCTCCTCTGAATCATTCAGATGTTCATTGGCAAACTTCAGACGGGCATGTATATGTGCTTTCTTGAGCAGGGGTCCTTGCAGGCGCTGCAGGATTTCAGTCCTTCCCGGCGTAGTGTGTTACCAATTGTTTTCTTGGTGACTATGGTCCCAGCTGCCTTGAGATCATTGACAAGATCCTCCCGTGTAGTTCTGGGCTGATTCCTCACCGTTCTCATGATCATTGCAACTCCACAAGGTGAGATCTTGCATGGAGCCCCAGGCCGAGGGAGATTGACAGTTATTTTGTGTTTCTTCCATTTGCGAATAATCGCATCAACTGTTGTCACCTTCTCACCAAGCTGCTTGGCAATGGTCTTGTAGCCCATTCCAGCCTTGTGTAGGTCTACAATCTTGTCCCTGACATCCTTGGAGAGCTCTTTGGTCTTGGCCATGGTGGAGAGTTTGGAATCTGATTGATTGATTGCTTCTGTGGACAGGTGTCTTTTATACAGGTAACAAGCTGAGATTAGGAGCACTCCCTTTAAGAGTGTGCTCCTAATCTCAGCTCATTACCTGTATAAAAGACACCTGGGAGCCAGAAATCTTTCTGATTGAGAGGGGGTCAAATACGTATTTCCCTCATTAAAATGCAAATCAATTTATAACATTTCTGACATGCATTTTTTCTGGATTTTTTTGTTGTTATTCTGTCTCTCACTGTTCAAATAAACCTACCATTAAAATTATAGACTGATCATTTTTTGGCAGTGGGCAAACGTACAAAATCAGCAGGGGATCAAATACTTTTTTCCCTCACTGTATACAGTATAGCTATAGCCTACCATCGGCATTGATATGACTAGTATGACTTTTCCACATGAAAGGTAAACAAACAGGCAATTATAAACTGGGTGGTTCGAGCCCTGAATGCTGATTGGCTGACAGCCATGGTATATCAGATCGTATACCATGTGTATGACAAAACATGTATTTTTACTGCTCTAATTACGTTGGTAACCAGTTTATAATAGCAATAAGGCACCTCTGGGGTTTGTGGTATATGGCCAATATACCACGGCTAAGGGCTGTATCCAGGCACTCCGTGTTGCGTCGTGCTTATGAACACATGAACATTAGCTTTGGTATATTGGCCATATACCACACCCCCTCATACCTTATTGATTAAATATAGCCTACAAGCGGATTCAGCGCCACGGACAGCGATCGGAATTCCCGCGATTTGACAGTTACTGTAGATCCAACAGAGGAAGATGGAAGATGCATTTGTTTTTACAAAATTATAAACGAAAAACAATAAGCAGTCTTTTTAAATAACTTGATGTTCCTAAACAGGCTTCCTATAGTGCAGTCACTGACACCTTTCATGCAATGGGCATCACACATAATAACTCCAAACTTTTCACAGAAGCTGGACAAAAACTAATGTCCAATATAAATAAAAAAGGTGAATGTCTGTTGACTGTTTTGCTACTCGTGATATTTGTATAAAACATTGGTGATGTACATAAGGCTACTGTGAGCGCCTCCTCCGGCAAAATCAATGCCAAAACCTTATTGCGTTATCACTAAGACCAGCTTTTGATCGACCTTAAATATCCCTAGTTGTGCTGACTGAAATTGGCATATTGGCACACATTTTAAAGGACACACCTCAAATATTTCCACCCCTCCTGTCATGGAAATTCTAATCAATAATGAGGAGGACAAGGTCAATCACCAATCAGGATATTACTTTATTGAAAACGTATTAACAAGCTAGTAAGTGAGGCTGGTCGACCCAACACTCTTGAGTGTTGGGCAGAGAGCTCTGACATACAGACAATACAAATATATTTTATAGCAAAGATACAGTGGGGGAAAAAAGTATTTAGTCAGCCACCAATTGTGCAAGTTCTCCCACTTAAAAAGATGAGAGAGGCCTGTAATTTTCATCATAGGTACACGTCAACTATGACAGACAAATTGAGGAAAAAAATTCCAGAAAATCACATTGTAGGATTTTTAATGAATTTATTTGCAAATTATGGTGGAAAATAAGTATTTGGTCACCTACAAACAAGCAAGATTTCTGGCTCTCACAGACCTGTAACTTCTTCTTTAAGAGGCTCCTCTGTCCTCCACTCGTTACCTGTATTAATGGCACCTGTTTGTACTTGTTATCAGTATAAAAGACACCTGTCCACAACCTCAAACAGTCACACTCCAAACTCCACTATGGCCAAGACCAAAGAGCTGTCAAAGGACACCAGAAACAAAAGTGTAGACCTGCACCAGGCTGGGAAGACTGAATCTGCAATAGGTAAGCAGCTTGGTTTGAAGAAATCAACTGTGGGAGCAATTATTAGGTAATGGAAGACATACAAGACCACTGATAATATCCCTCGATCTGGGGCTCCATGCAAGATCTCACCCCTTGGGGTCAAAATGATCACAAGAACGGTGAGCAAAAATCCCAGAACCACACGGGGGACCTAGTGAAGGACCTGCAGAGAGCTGGGACCAAAGTAACAAAGCCTACCATCAGTAACACACTACGCCGCTAGGGACTCAAATCCTGCAGTACCAGACGTGTCCCCCTGCTTAAGCCAGTACATGTCCAGGCCTGTCTGAAGTTTGATAGAGTGCATTTGGATGATCCAGAAGAGGATTGGGAGAATGTCATATGGTCAAATGAAACCAAAATATAACTTTTTGGTAAAAACTCAACTCGTCGTGTTTGGAGGACAAAGAATGCTGAGTTGCATCCAAAGAACACCCTACCTACTGTGAAGCATGGGGGTGGAAACATCATGCTTTGGGGCTGTTTTTCTGCAAAGGGACCAGGACGACTGATCCGTGTAAAGGAAAGAATGAATGGGGCCATGTATCGTGAGATTTTGAGTGAAAACCTCCTTCCATCAGCAAGGGCATTGAAGATGAAACGTGGCTGGGTCTTTCAGCATGACAATGATCCCAAACACACCGCCCGGGCAACGAAGGAGTGGCTTCGTAAGAAGCATTTCAAGGTCCTGGAGTGGCCTAGCCAGTCTCCAGATCTCAACCCCATAGAAAATCGTTGGAGGGAGTTGAAAGTCCGTGTTGCCCAGCGACAGCCCCAAAACATCACTGCTCTAGAGGAGATCTTGATGGAGGAATGGGCCAAAATACCAGCAACAGTGTGTGAAAACCTTGTGAAGACTTACAGAAAACGTTTGACCTGTGTCATTGCCAACAAAGGGTATATAACAAAGTATTGAGAAACTTTTGTTATTGACCAAATACTTATTTTCCACCATAATTTGCAAATAAATTCATTAAAAATCCTACAATGTGATTTTCTAGATTTTTTTTTCTCATTTTGTCTGTCATAGTTGACGTGTACCTATGATGAAAATTACAGGCCTCTCTCATCTTTTTAAGTGGGAGAACTTGCACAATTGGTGGCTGACTAAATACTGTTTTTCCCCACTGTACACCCTCTCAGTCTTCATGACAAACAGCAGAACAGCACTGTTCTCATTGTATGGACACCAGGGTTTGGCCCCCAAGACGAGGTTCTTATCAACATTATCCATACCCGAGCCATCGCTCCCTGGTACCTTACATTACACAAACACCAACTCATTCTATGGAATGCATGCTGTAGGTTTTATCACCAAACCATTCATAAATCAATTGTCAGATCCAGATACCCCTATCTCAAGTAAAACCCATGTCCTTGACCACACGCCTAGACTACTGCAGGGAGCTGGAGTAGAAACCATCCCTTTACAAAAACACAGCATTAGTAGGACAGAAATGTCTTACTATTTGTTAAACAAAGCAGGTAAACATGTTACATGTTAATTTTTCTCTCACACTCCCATGTCAGTTCAAGTGAGCTGGAACCAGATTCACAAACAACGTATTACGCAAAAACTTAAGAAGCTTTTTAAGAAAAAAAATAGTTTGTAAGTGCAGTTTTTAAAACATTTCTTTAGAATCTATGATTTTTACGAACTTTTCAAATATCTTCTTACTCAAATATCTTCTTATGAACTTTTTAACTATCTTCTTAAGATGATTGTTGCTAGGCAACCAAGCTAGCTAGCTATCTAGCTAGCAAGGGCAATCATGTTAGCATATTTCTTACTGAGATTACTGGTCTAAAACATTTTACTGGATTTAAAACAATCAATGCTGAAACTTTCAGATGAAGTTTGTGAGTCAATTAAACATATTAAATTGCTTTCATTAGCTTATTTTTTCGCTTTCACAAGTTTAAGACAAAGGTTTAGCAATCTTGGAATTAAGAACATTTCCAAGAAGAAATCCAATAACTTTATTTTCAAGAACCTAATTCCTTCTTAGCAATTTTCTTAGGAAGAAACCTTAGAAGAAACTTCATTGAGAAATATCAACTTTTCGTAAGTTTCTTCTTAAGTATAGAGTTAAGAAAAACATTTATTCTTAAGAATCGGGGCCCTGATGTTACAGGTAAATTGCCGACCTGGCGTAAGGGGTGGAAAATGCCAGTGTGCCAATTTTTACATGACGAAATTGAAAACTAACGTGCGTTTGACACTTGTGCCTCCTTAGTGCCAGCCGTAAATAGAGCCCTCTGTCCTTTTCCATTTATTTGGGTGAAATGTCCCTTTAAAATTCTCACCAAGGCCAACAATCACCCCACCTGGGCTAAGTTACTTGACCAGAACCATTAAATGATAGGTGCATCGTGGTTTGTGAGGAATTCAGGAAATGCAAAGAAAACACTTTGTGGTGTTACACAACACCCTGACAACAATGTAATTTAATAATCTTGACATTTTCTATTAATCTCATTTTTGGAGAGAAAATACTAACTCACTAACTAAATCAAGGCATCTTTTTTGAAAGGTTGAGGGAGGATCTTGACTGTACCACCTCTCACTTGCTGCATTTGAGCCTTGGCAACTTTGTGTGTCGTCAGGTAAGTGGGCTTCATGTACAAACAACACCTTGCTTTATCGACAGTTGCTATAGCAGCAACACCTTGCTTTAACAACAGTTTCTATAGCAGCAGGCAGCACAGCAGTTTAAAAGAGCCTATTTTATGCCCTCCCTCAGGATAGACCTCCTGGCATAAATGGTGACTCTCAGATCCACCTCTACGCAGACGAAACAATTTTGTATACATCTGGCCCTTCATTGGACACTGTGTTAACAAACCTCCAAACGAGCTTCAATGCCATACAACACTCCTTCAGTAGCCTCCAACTGCTCTTAAACACTAGTAAAACTAAATGCATGCTCTTCAATCGAACGCTGCTGGCACCCGCCCACCCGACTAGAATCACTACTCTCGACGGGTCTGACCTAGAGTATGTGGACAACTACAAATACCTAGGTGTCTGGTTAGACTGTAAACTCTCCTTCCAGACTCACATTAAGAATCTCCAATCCAAAGTTAAATCTAGAATCGGCTTCCTATTCCGCAACAAAGCCTCCCTCACTCATGCTGCCAAACATGCCCTCGTAAAACGGACTATCCTACCGATCCTTGACTTCGGCGATGTCATTTACAAAATAGCCTCCAACACTCTACTCAGCAAATTGGATGTAGTCTATCACAGTGCCATCCGTTTTGTCTCCAAAGCCCCATACACTACCCACCACTGTGACCTGTACGCTCTTGTTGGCTGGTCCTCACTACATGTTCGTCGTCAAACCCACTGGCTCCAGGCCATCTATAAATCACTGCTAGGCAAATCCCCGCCTTATCTTAGCTCATTGTTCACCATAGCAGCACCCACCCGTAGTCTGCGCTCCAGCAGGTATATCTCACTGGTCATCCCCAAAGCCAACACCTCCTTTGGCCGCCATTCCTTCCAGTCCTCTGCTGCCAATGAATGGAACGAATTGCAAAAATCTCTGAAGCTGGAGACTCTTATCTCCCTCACTAACTTTAAGCATCAGTTGTCAGAGCACCTTACCGATCACTGCACCTGTACACAGCCCATCTGAAATTAGCCTACCCAACTACCTCATCCCTATATTGTTATTTATTTTGCTCTTTTGCACCCCAGTATCTCTATTTGCACATCATATCTTGCACATCTAGCATTCCAGTGTTAATACTAATTGTAATTATTTTTGCACTATAGCCTATTTATTGCCTTACCTCCATAACTTGCTACATTTGCACACACTGTATATATATTTTCTGTTGTATTTTTTTTTGTTGTGACTTTATATATTTTTTTTACCCCATATGTAACTCTGTGTTGTTGTTTTTATCGCACTACTTTGCTTTATCTTGGCCAGGTCGCAGTTGTAAATGAGAACTTGTTCTCAACTGGCTTACCTGGTTAAATAAAGGTGAAATAAAAAAATTAAAATAAAAAGACCTCCTGGCATAAATATATTATTGTGCGAAAACAGATTGTATTATATACAGTAAATTGCTATTGCTTTGTATTGGAATATGGCTTAGCCATTACACAAGCATCATGCGTCTGCTGTGTCCCTATGTATTCATCAGGCACTGATGAATCTGCTGCTAACTGGCCGAGCCAGTCCCAATGTATTCAATGGAACTCTGCACTGTGGTGACGACGGCAGCCCACTAGAGAAGCCTCTCCACGGGGTCCTGGCTCGCAGCGACGTAGGCTACCTGCACTGGAGCCGCGAGCTGCTGGAACGCACCAAGCTGCCCATGGTACAGTAACAGTGCCTTCCTGTCTGTTTGTAACTGCTGCTAATCTCTGCACCCAGAACCGAATCTCATGTGCGCGCTGGCTGGCTAATTATTAAGTTTGTTATGAGACACTAACCTGCTGCTGACACTGCATCTACAGCTCTACCGTCTGTCTGTCTGTCTGTCTGTCTGTCTGTCTGTCTGTCTGTCTGTCTGTCTGTCTGTCTGTCTGTCTGTCTGTCTGTCTGTCTGTCTGTCTGTCTGTCTGTCTGTCTGTCTGTCTGTCTGTCTGTCTGTCTGTCTGTCTGTCTGTCTGTCTGTCTGTCTGTCTGTCTGTCTGTCTGTCTGTCTGTCTGTCTGTCTGTCTGTCTGTCTGTCTGTCTGTCTGTCTGTCTGTCTGTCTGTCTGTCTGTCTGTCTGTCTTTGATCTGTTGATCAGTATCACTCTTCCAAAGTAAACATGGTGGTCCCACAGGCACTAAACTGTCCATACTTTCTTAGCCCATCCTTTGATCTTTCATTAGTCATTTAAGGGCTGAGGCTGAGCTACTGGAAATTACACAATACATCTCCTAGATCAGTGTTTCTCTATCCCTGGTCCATGGCCCGGCACCGGTCCCTAGGATGTTGCTAATCGGAACCTCAGATGCTTAGTTGACACCGATTTATAATAATAATAATAATATGCCATTTAGCAGACGCTTTTATCCAAAGCGACTTACAGTCATGCGTGCATACATTTTAGTGTATGGGTGGTCCCGGGGATCGAACCCACTACCTTGGCGTTACAAGCGCCGTGCTCTACCAGCTGAGCTACAGAGGACCACAGTCAGTTGTACAGTGTTCATTTTGATCTGCAGTCCTCCAAAGAGGCAGGATCATAGCCTGCTGGTCCCTTGTACCAAAAAAGGATGAGATGCACTGCTCTGGGCCGGTATCCATAAAGCGTCTCAAAGTAGGAGCGCTGATCTAGGATCAGGTTTGCCTTTTAGACCACGTCTCCCCAATTTAAACAAAGCTTAATGGACATGGACATGGACATGGGGGACCTGATCCTAGATTAGCACTCCTACTCTGAGACGCTTTGTAAATATGGGTCCAGGTCTAGATCTTTCATCCATTCCCTGTGGCGCCCTCTAGGTGGGAAGCATGCTGAAAACGCCAAAGTTGCCAATTTGGGTGTGCAGTATCAATGGCACCTACAGTGTCCTCTTCAGTCCCAACCGCTGCCTGCTCTCTGACTGGAAGATGGAGCACCTGTTCCACATGTACTTCTACAATGGCCAGCCATCGCAACAAAGCACAGCCCTGCTGACCATTGGTAGGATGGACAGCCTGTATCTCTGACTGTCATTTGATATATTCACATACATTTACCCCTTTTGTCTCAATATTGAATATAATATAATGTGAATTTTATTGCATCGTAATAATTTATAGGTCTATGTGATTACACTTTTGCTTATCAACGCTAAATGATGGCTTGAGTGTGATATCACAAATAACAATGGGCATAGGGCCCAGAATTATTCCCTGCTTACACTTATCCAATCCTCTCAGATCTACACGTGCCTAGAGGTTAGGGGCTAGGGGTTGATTTGGGATTCAGCACTCATGTCTTTACTGTTAATTAACACCTCTCTTGTTCCAGACACTCACTCCCACCACTGGGAGGTAGGGATCAAGGACACCCAGGGAGACCCAGAGAAGAGGTTTCCCTCTGTAGAGATGGCCATTAGGACCAAATGGGAGGGAGCTGCCATCGACTGGAACGGAACCATGCCCTTTTTCTGACCAGGGAGGATACTTGATGATCGTAATGTTCTGGATTCCTTTTTTTACGTATCCAGTTGTCTGGTTTGAAGGCACCCTTATGCTACCAACCCCATCAAGAAAGCAACTAAATGTTCGGTTCGGGACGAAAACAAAAAAAAAGTGTGTTTGCAACTTTTACAGCTTAGGCCAGGATTCAATCCCATCATGCTTTGCGGCAATGCACCATTTAAAGGCTATATTCCTGTGTTCACAGTAAACACTGCACATACAGTATGTCAGCTCAATCGGAAATTACCTTTAAATGGAGCTTTATCAATAAAACGCGATCGGATCCCGGCCATAGTAAGATAAGAGGTCAATGTAAAGAATGTCTTACTGTGTAATATTTGTCAGGCATTCTATTGTACTTTTTTTTTTTTTAAGATGTTCTGTAAAATAGGCCTATACTTTAATGTTGTTGACCCATCATAGGATACCCATGTTATTGACAGTTTGAGAAGCTGTTTAATTGAGTGAGGATATTACATGTCTTTGCAATAAGACTACTATATAACATAACTATTTCTATTTAATATTTGTGGCACAGTCTTTAGCCTACAATTGTCAGTTTTGACTGTCTTTTTTTGGTGTCATCGTTAGCCTAATATTTTGATAAGAAAACTTGGCTATATTGAAAATTGTGATTTTTGATATACCTATTATAGCCCCAAACCTTTTCCATGCATGTATGAAATGTGGTTTTGCAGTCATTGTAATCTATGGTGATTTTATGTTAATTAAAGTTATTTAAAAAAACAAACAAGAGAGATGTGGTTGTAGGGTATACCGTATGTGTACTATGCACCCTTTATCATGTCTTGTCAGAGAGTGAATCTGACAATATTTGCAATATTGTTACTCTGTATGACAATAGGTCTATAACCAGACACTAGAATATTGCAACATAATTATCCCTTAGTTTGCAATGTTACGTTACATTTCATTACACAAACACAACAGGCCTAAGTGTTGTGTTTTCATCAGCTATGAATCAATGAACACGTCAGTAAAATGAGATTATATGGCGGAGGGTAGCCTCGAGGTTAGAGAGGCTGACCAGTAACCGCAGGATGCCGGTTAGAATCCCAGGGCTGACTAGAGAGATCTGGTGGGATGTGAGCTGGCAACCGGAAGCACTTAACCCCCAAACTGCTCAGGGTTCTGGATAAATAAAGTAAAATCTATTATATACGCCTATCTACAATATAAAACAAACGACAGGACATTTAGATTTTGCCACATATTTTCTTTAAACTTACTTCTGGGGCAACCTTACAATTACCAACTGGAGTAGAACTGGAGGAGAGCGAACTCATCCATAGAGTCTCTACACCATTTTTGGTACTGTATTCATAGGCTGCTGTAACTGATCAGATGGAGGGGGCGGGAGTAGTGTAGTTTATGGGCGGGGGCTGGACACACTCAAACTATAGGCCTATGTTCTTGTGTAATCCTCGCGTTGTGGGCTGTGTTTACACAGCCAGCCCAATTCAGATCTTTTTTCCACTAATTGGTCTTTTGACCAATCACATCAGATCTTTTGACATCAGATGTTTTCATGTGTCCTTGGTGATATTCATGGTTGTCAACCAAATCAGTAGCAACTTTGGGAGTTCCGATGTTTTACCAATGATGAGCCGCCCGTCCATAGCAGGAACCGGTGCAAAGACCTGCATCAAAGAGCATCCAGACCTCCCTGACGATACAACCGAAGGGCAACCTCGGCTGGCCTCGTCCCTGAACAGGGTGCAGTGTCCCTGCACCAGCACGAACTCACCTCCGTGTCTAGTGTACTGTGTGCTTCGACTATGTTCTATCTCTGATCCTGCAGTGCCGAGCTGGCCATCTAGTCTGCAACCAATGTCGGCAGAAGCGGAGCCGGAACCTGCCCATGGAGAAAGTGGCGTCCGCAGTGCTATTTCCGTGCAAGGTGTGTATACAGTATGCTTCCCTCTCATCCTCAGTGAGAAGGATGAACAGAATGTGATGCTCAATGCATTTGTGTTTTGCATTTGTTCTTCTGTTAGTATTTTGAGGAACAGTGGAACTGCAACAACATGTGCTATAATAGGGATAAATGATTCCTGATAGTGATAATGGTGTGTTTGAACCCAGAGGGGTATACTACAAAGCAGGATCAATATTCTGAATATTCTGAAATTGCTTTGTCATATACCTCTCGGGTCTCCTGCACTCCAGAAGGGCGTATTAGCTCACTGAGCTAAAGCCTAAAGGCATTAGCTTGGGGAGCCGAAACAAGTCTTCAGGGAAATTTCAATTGTCACTCGAGCGTGGTTCTGAACCATCCCGATTACAATGGAATAACGTGAGCTAAATGATTAGGTCAAGGTTTGAGGGCCCTCGGGTATGTCCGCTGTTTGCAAATAAAGAATCTGAATCAGCTGTTGGAACATTCCTACTAGTGTATATAGTTAACCAGCGGACAGATCTGCATTTAGAAGGACCGTACAAATGTAATTTTCTACTGAGCCTGAACGATAATCTGTAGGCTTAAGAGCTCTGTGTTAAAAACAAATGGGTCCATAAGTGAAAGGAATAAACATCAGTAGACTGTCCTACTGGCCTAATTTATGGCTACAGTAGACTACTGTTCTGTGTCCTGTGCATGATGAAATGGAGATAGTTACAATCTCTATGATGGCATTACAAATTAAATCCACTCAGAGACCAAATTCTATATATTCTGCTTTGCAACTGGTGTTAATGTTTGTTGTATTGTACCAGGACATTGATCTTTGTACAACAGCTGAAACTAGCACTGTAAGTGTGATTTTTTTTTGTTGGTCCAAGTTATTTCCTGACACAGGACCTTCTAATCAGCAGGTTTGCATGGGTGAGAGTTTCGGCATGCCTGGTGATACATTTGTTAATATTGATCACCGGAGGATAATTGGTTAATAGACCAATAAAGACTTCCAAACCACTCTGCCAATAAGAGCTAGTTTTCAGTTTTCCCCTCCCCACTCAGACCACTCCCAGACATTCTTGCTTGAGAAATAGTTTTGCTAAAAAGCTATTTTTGTCAATTTTAATGGAAAACTGTTACAGTAAAGTTTATTACAGTAAGGTACCCAAGAAAGCGAAGGTAACAGAACTAAATGACTTTGACCCCGTAGCACTCACTTCTGTCATCATGAAGTGCTTTGACAGGCTAGTTAAGGATCATATCACCTCCACCTTACCTGACACCCTAGATCCACTGCAATTTGCATACCGCCTCAATAGATCCACGGATGATGCAATCGCCATCGCACTGCACACTGCCCTATCCCATCTTGACAAGAGGAATACCTATGTAAGAATGCTGTTCATTGACTACAGCTCAGCCTTCAACACCATAGTACCCTCCAAGCTCATCATTAAGCTCGGGGCCCTGGGTCTGAACCCCGCCCTGTGCAACTGGGTCCTGGACTTCCTGACGGGCCCCACAAAGGTGGTGAAGGTAGGCAACAACACCTCCACTACGCTCATCCTCAACACAGGGGCCCCACAAGGGTGCGTACACAGCCCCCTCCTGTACTCCCTCTTTACCCATGACTGTGTGGCCCTGCACGCCTCCAACTCAATCATCAAGGTTGCAGACAACACAACAGTGGTAGGCCTGATTACCAACAACGACAAGACAGCCTATTGGGAGGAGATGAGGGCCCTGGCGGAGTGGTTCCAGGAAAATAACTTCTCCCATGATGTCAACAAAACGAAGCAGCTGATCGTGGACTTCAGGAGACAGCAGAGGGAGCACCCCCCTATCCACATCGACGGGGTCGCAGTGGAGAAGGTGAAAAGCTTCAAGTTCCTTGGTGTACACATCACTGACAATCTGAAATGGTCCACCCGCACAGACAGTGTAGTGAAGAAGGCACAACACCGCCTCTTCACCCTCAGGAGGCTGAAGAAATTTGTCTTGGCCCCTAAGACCCTCACAAACTTTTACAGATGCAACATTGAGAGCATCCTGTTAGGCTGTATCACCGCCTGGTACGGCAACTGCACCGTCTGCAACCGCAGGGTTCTCCAGAGGGTGGTTGAGAGCTTTCAAAAGCTCCCAACCTATAACCTATATACTTATTATGGACCACAGTATGCTTTACATTAGATATATTGTTGTTATTAGTTGTTGTTAGTTGTTATTAGTCCCATCCTTCAGCTCCATTCAACACCTCTCATCTATCTCTTAACACCATCCATATTGGATTTCTATTTGCCATATCTTTTTCAACTGTACTGTGATGTTTCACAAAAGTTCTGAACCCTTCTATTCTCATTGTTTCTACAGATTGTAAATTGAAAATAAACATATTTGCTAAAAGTATTATTATATTATTGATCGATTGACTATGACTTTTCAGATCACCCAGTAGTGCTTTATGCAGGGTTAGCTCCAGGTAAATATTGGAATCCTTCAGCCATTCCTGGACCTGTGACCAAAAATAAGCTACAAATGGACAGTACCAAAACAAATGATCTAATGATTCTGTCTCTTCACAGCAAATTCTGCAGAGCTGGGAAGATTGTATCCCCCATATAAATAACATTCTATTGGTAGCAATAGAAATTGAACATTTCTAAGTTTTGAATCCGGCGTCGTTTTGCATATCAGTTCATAAACACTATGCCATGGAATCGGTACGTCAAAAATCTCTTCCCAACTATTTTGCAATCTATATGGGACGGCTGTCAATCCTTTGGTCCTTAAATGAAACTGGTATACTTTTTTATTTATCACAATTTTCTTTAACCAATTATATTCTTTAATGCAAGGCCGACAGACAAGTTCCTTACTTTCTCTCCCTTCCACTTTCCTTTTCCATTTTTGCGGTAATGCTGCAATTATTTGGTTGTAATTTTGGGTAGAGCAGACATTTCCATATGTTTTTGTTAGCTGCATGTGCGACATAACTCCACCAGTCCTACCGATAATATCATTTACGAAGATTATACCTTCTTTTTTTTTATGT